ATATTAACGGGTTAGGGTTAGGGTGTACTTGAACGTGAGTAGAAGAAACTCTCTAACTTCTTCCTTTCTTCTTCCTTTGCTCTCTTAATCCCGCGTCTTTAAGGAGCAACCTTCATTTCCGGAATGCAATAGTCCCATTTCCATATAAGGTATGGGACTGACGGAAAGGTCCGTCCCCGCCCCATTCTGCATGCTGCAGCGAAGTGTACCTCAGATTCATGAGGCTCTTATTGTGAAAGAGTGGTTCAGGGAGCATGAGACATCATTTTCACACATGGATTGGCTCCACAGAGTCCATGGAGAACCTTTGGGATGTGCTGGAGAAGGTCAGACTCTACCATCATCAATGTAATGTAATATAATGTAATGGATAAAAGAGTCTGGAGACATTGATGTTTTTAACACTCAAATTCAACACTTGTCACAGCAGCAACAAAGAACTGAGTCTGTACATTTGCTACAGATGAAGAACTTTTATTAAAGGTTAGACAACATAAGGTCAGGAGCTTATAAAATAATCTCTGAGTCGTCTTTAGTGTGTGAGAGTTATGACTGTATTCAACATGTCAGTTACAGAAACTATATTGCCCCTTAATGCAGAAATGAACCAAATGTAAAATAAATCAAACTAAATGAGACAAAAACTAAAGTATTACATCAAAGTCTTAATAAAAAACAAGAGTAGAACAAAGGATCTCATTTTGTATTAATATTCAACAATGATAAAACAATACTGGGCTATATTAATAATAATAATATAATAATATGACAGTAATAATAATAATAAAAAAAGACAAAACAAATCAAAACCAGTGATTTTTCTGCAGATGAAACACACGTAGCAAAGATAGACAATCATGAATAAACTTGCAAAAGAGGCCCTTCATTGCAGAGAGGTGCATAAAGCAATGAAAAATTGAACATTCGATATATTAACTTTGATCTTTAGTCATTATTCTGTTTCTTTGATATAAATATGAATCTAAAATAAACGTGGCTACTTTCCCAGGACTGTTCATACAAAACCAACGCCGCGGCTGGTTTCTGAGGATTAGGTTACGGCACAGCACGAATCAAAAACTACACTTCAGTGGTTAATCATCGGTCCTGTTTGCAGTCTAAAATGATCTTTGGTGAGAATGTAAACAGTTGCATCAGGTCAAAAAGTAAGGCAATAAAGTCTGGAGCCAAAAAAGCACAAAAACCAAACAGGAAAATAAATCTTTACATCTAACTGTCTAATAGTGTGGAATAAATTTACTTTTTTTTCTGATCTATAAGCTTCACAAAGCAGTTCTATTAAACAAGCCATATTTTAGAACAGCCTCTCTTCTCTTGGAAAAAGCAGAAATAATGCAGGGTTGTGTAAATGACAATAGTTGATTTTTTTTTTTTTTTGGATCCCTTTCTGTTACTAACAGATAAAATGTTCTAGAAGACAGCAGCAAAAGATGAGTTGCTTTTACAGGTTAAAACTCAGGCAAGCTAAAACACACGAGATGATGGATAGTGAGGGTGAATATGATGATAGTAGGCTTCAGCTGGTCCCATCAATAAGGCACATATGATGATACATGCTACTGTTTACTAACCCTAATCCCCTCAACACAGAAACCTGCTTGATGATGTGCAGGTTTAGTTAATAACTTTGCTCTCTGTTGTATGAGTGTCACCCCACTGATTGAGAACAGAACAAACACACGTCTCAGTCTGCATCGCTGGTTCACTAACCCGTTTGTCTGTGCATTAACCCAGAAACCTTTTACCACTGCTCCCAGCTGAAGTCGTCCCCACCTCCGAACACCACGAAAAAGCCAAGGATGGTGAGGAAGATGACAACATTTCCTGCCATCACCAGGCCACAGGCTCCCCACATGATCTGCAGACAAAAAGGGACGGACATTATTCAACTTACAGATAAAAGCCAGGTGTTTACATACACTATAAAAACGCCTGTTTTTATTTTTTATTTCTCACTGACATTAAATCAGATGCAACCTTTTCAGTTTTACACTCACAGGACACTTTATTACGTACGTGGCAGCTGGTGACTTCTGTCCAGCCCATCAGTGAGCCAGATTGAAGTCGGACTCGTTTCCGGTGAGAGTTGGACTCGGCCAAGGCTGCCCTTTGTCACCGATTCTGTTCATAACTTTTATGGACAGAATTTCTAGGCGGAGCCAAGGTGTTGAGGGGATCCTTTTAGGTGACCTTAGGATCACATCTCTGCTTTTTGCAGATGATGTGGTCCTATTGCTTCATCAGATCCTGATCTCCAGCACTCACTGGAGCGGTTCGCAGCCGAGTGTGAAGTGGCTGTGATGAGGATCAGTGCTTCTAAATCTGAGACCATGGTCTTGAGCCGGAAAAGGGCAGGGTGCCGCCTCCAGGTTGGGAAGGAGGTCCTGCTCCAAGTGGAGGAGTTTAAGTATTTTGGGGTCTTGTTCATGAATGAGGGAAGAATGGAGCAGGAGATTGACAGGCGGATTGGTGCTGCGTCTGCAGTGATGCGAGCGCTGTACCGGTCTGCCGTGGTGAAGAGGGAGCTGAGCCAGAAGGTGAAGCTCTCTGTTTACCGGTCGGTCTATGTTCCTACCCTCATCTATGGTCACAAGCTTTGGGTAGTGACTGAAAGAACGAGATCACAGAGACAAGCAGCTGAAATGAGTTTCCTCTGCAGGGTGTCTGGGCTCTCCCTTAGAGATAGGGTGAGAAGCTCGGTCATCCAGGAGGGACTCAGAGTAGAGCCGCTGCTCCTCCACGTCGAGAGGAGCCAGTTGAGGTGGTTCATCTGGTTAGGATGCCTCCTGGACGCCTCCCTGGTTAGGTGTTCCGGGCATGTCCCACTCGGAGGGGGACCAGAGGAAGACCCAGGACTCGCTGGAGGGGCTATGTTCCTCAGCTGGCCTGGGAATGCCTTGGGATTACCCCAGAGGAGTTGGCCCAAGTGGCTGGAGAGAGGGAAGTCTGGGTCTCTCTGTTTAGGCTGTTGCCCCCGCCACCCGACCCCAGATAAGCAGAAGAAAATGGATGGAAGGATAAAAGCTTAGATTGTGCCACAGGGTTCTATAGCATACAGCCCCTGCCCCCAATTTTTCTTCTGAAGTCTATAATGAGCATAATGTTAAAGTAAAATTTTAATGTTGAAAAAAATAGAGCTAACTGACTAGACTACTTGTTTCAGCCACAATCATCTTCATTCTAGGCTACATGTATCTGCTATGTCTTACTGGAATGTGATGTGATTTATGTCATACAGGTATGATGGAGTGAATTCAGTCCAATAGGGCTTCAGAATGTTATACATTTACACTTCTCACCCAATTAGGACATTTAATGTCCTCAGTTAGTGCTTCTAAATTTCGCCTATAAATTTAGCAAGCGCTAATCC